CTACACACATAACGACGTACATGGCACTTTACGAAGGCAAAAGTATTCTGAAGTAAGACAACTACGTGTATACGATACGCACATAAGAATGAACGGAGATCAAGCAGGCAGGTCTGGATGTTGAGGGCTTCGCCCTTAGGAAGAGAGAGATGAGGCCGCGGACCTCGGTCGTTGCTGCTGGTCGTCTCCTCGATCCAGCTGACTGTCGCTCCGCCCTGAAAAGGCATGAGTCATCGTGGAGTACGGTCGACTACACCACACACCGCTTACAATACGAACGATATGGTAGTCCTGTCGTTTGAAAAAAACAGGTTGGCTCAGCGCCAAGCGCGATCGCGGACACGCCCCATCATCCGCAGCGAACCAGAGTTGTATGAGTCACTTACGAGATGATGTCGACTTATTAATATTTCCAGTTATTTCGGATTAGTTTGATGAATGAAAGTTTTGTACTATTTTTTTACATATCCGAGTTCTCTACAAAGCAAATTTCGCTGTACAGGACTCAGCACACTGACGCTCGTTACTGGCTACCGCACTCATTACGACCCCCCTCTCCTGGCGGCCAAATACGACCCCCTGTTGGGGATTCCCCAACCAACGATGTGCCCTGTTCCGAAAAGAAATCATCTGGCTGACGTTTGAGCATCATTCCGAACATGTCGTTCAATGCAAAAACTCCGTTTCCGCAGCTTTACTCGCAAACTTCGAAAGCAAGGTAGAGTTTAGCGTCTCAATGCGAGTACACTGATGTATATTTCAGTGCAAAGGACCAGCTGACCTTTCCTAGTTAGTCAAAAAACACTCTAAAATCATTAAAAGTAGGCGTGAGGTACGTGGGGTTTACGGTAGCAAAGAGGGCGCAAGTGGTGTAACTGCGTCCAGCAGCCCATGTGCTGGGTCCCTCTTGCGTTGCTCTTTCTGGAGTGATCAATTTTGAAGTTGTCTGGGCAGTATCGCAAAACCTTTGAGGGTCTTATATATGCGGTAGAAACCTCAACCTGAACGAAAAAAAATAAATCGGATAATATAATAGGATTTCTGGATTCATTATCAGTTTCTCAGTGCTTTCTGGTTAATGAGACTTTTCAGATTTTAGATGATGACGTTTCGAGCCATAAGCCCTTCTTCAAGTCTACAATACACAATCTATCCAGTGTCGGACATGAGCACCAAAACTAGCCAAAGGATACAAGAAATTGTGGAAAGACGAATCGCTAACACTTGAACGAATACTAAGACAAATGTTTTTGATCCAGCGGAACGGGTTCTTCCCGGGACGACATTAAACACTGCAGATGTTCAAAGATGGACACATAAGGCGGAAGGGGATGAGGCATGTGGGGAGGGCTTACCCCTCTATCTGTCCACTCATGCAACAATGAAGCACCTAGTTCGGTGGGAAGGGCACGGGTGATGTCAGTCGATAGCCTCCAAGTCATCATATGTCACCCATTGATCATTCAGTCACATCCTACAGGGCACCCTCTTTACAAAAGGCTAGACGATTATCTTAGGGCTCTCCGGGATCCTAGCAGCCTCCGGAGACCCTTTCTCGCAGCATCGCTCTTTAAAGGCAGCGCCCACGTTCATTTGATGTTCCCGCGCCCTCTCTGGATATCATAGCCCTCCCTATGAGGATGCAGTATGTACTAGTTTTGCAAAAAAAGGCGAGAGGATAGCGCCGTTCGCTAGTGAAGAGTCGGCCGCCCCGCCCACCTGGCCAGCATAGGGTTCTATATAGGGCATTTTCCATGATTTTTCTGCTTTTTTCTTCACTACTGGATCACGTATTATATGAGCTCCATAACTCATTATTCTTGAAAGCGGGCTCAGCCTTTCAAGGCTGAACCAACGCAGTTATGGCAACCAGGACATCCACTTCACGAACGAGTGGCGCCATCCTCTCGTATTTTTGAGCTGCGAAATTAGTACATCCTCCACCCTTGTCGACAAAGCTACGATATCTCTAAGGAGGGCGTAGGAATATCAAATGAACGCGGGCGCAGCCTTTGAGACACATGAGATCGCGCTCCGGATAAAGGCGAATAAAGGTTCACAACATCTTTTAATCCAGTGGAAAGGAAGATAAAAGAGGCTTGGAGAATACGAAGAAGAGTCCTTCAATGAACAACAGGGAGGTACGATGAAGACGTCCTCCTATCAATAATGAGGTGGAGTTGCGAGTATGGAGGTCATCACCGTAGGATGTGACTGAATCATCATTACGGGACATATGGTGATTTGGAGGGGACCAGACGACATCACCGTTCACGTGGCTTCTGAAAGAAACTCGTTTTCCTGGACTTAAAACACTTGCCTTAATAATCGGGCAAGTTGCTAACTTATAATCGTATCTCCGTAATCGTATCTCCATAGTTTCTTGTGTACTTAAATACTATTGGTGCTTTTGTATGATATTTGATAGATTGTATAGTACACCTGAAAAATGGCTTGTAGCCCAAAACGCCGTCAAATAAAATCTTCAAGACTTTCATTCAACAACACTGAAAAGATGAATGTTCAGCCAGTGCAAGTGAGCTGTCCCTCCCTGGCAGACCAGCGTGGGCTTCAAGAGCTAGTACCTTCAGGTCAAAGATCTAGGTCAGCACGAACCACTCAGGATGGGTCACTTTAGCCGTGGTTTGAACCCGAGCCACATGTATTATACTTTCCACGTTAGTTCAAACTGTGTTTCTAAGATGCGAGGTCTCTCTAGACACCTTAAGTTTATGGTGAACACTAGCTCACGCCTGAAATGGCAATCGACGGTAGGTCTCTGTTGGCTTTGACTTTCCAGCCCCAGACGAAGGAGCCTGAGCCGAAACCTTAGCTAAATAAAGCTTAGCTAATATCTAGGCTGTGGTTCTAACATATGAAGAAGCACCGAGAACATTTTCAGAATCCGCTTCAAAACTTCCTTCACAATGACCCTCCTCTTCTTGGTGTTGCCTCCAAATTTTTATATTGAATCTCTAGTCAATCCCTCAACCATCCATCCTTTATGCTTAGTTTACAGATCTCATCTACTCTAGCTTCCTTTTTCGGAGCCTACTTTTCCAGAAATCACTCACTGATTCAGCGGATATATTCCCGGGTTGTGTTCAGGGTACAACATTTTGATGTGTGAAATGGAGGTGCCAGGATGACCCCCCTCCACGAAGGAGGGCCCCGCTACGACCTCTTCCCTGCTTTAACTGTCGGCTATAGCGAAAAAGAGTGAGCATGACCGATTTTTTCAGACACGAAGTTCTGCAAGTCCTTGCGGTCTAGTTGCAAAATTGGCGCTGGAGCAGATTCGTTGACATTGGATACTGCAATGCTTCTTCTGGGGTCACAAGTTTCCCAGGTTCTGGAATTTCGGTAAACGGAAGGCGCCATGTCAAAGCAATAGCCCTGGTCATGCGTATTCTTATTACCATTACTAGTTATCTGAATCTTCCTCTGTTTGAGAAATATTTCGAATAGTTCTCAGATGGGTCAATGGCGGATCCCAGTCAAGGTTTCTTGCTTCGGACGGCAATTTTTTTTCATAGCAATTTGATATCTACAGACCGCAATAGTTTCCCTTTCCAGAAAGCGTTGCAGTTTTACTCAAAACTCACAAAATATTTTAGGTGGATTTTGATGAGAGAAAATTTGAGCCAGCCAAGCTAGAATCGTCCTGTGCCAATGTTAGCATAGTCACTCTAGAATCTTGATGTGCCTTTACAACATGCATTCCCTTTGAATTGGGTGGAAGCATAGTTCATTTATCATCGAACTGTTTCGCCTCCGTGTGCGCCGTGCATTACGCTCTCACGCAAGAGGTGATGGAAAGATGTAATTTCTTTGACCTTGCAAGCTGATGTTTTCACATGGTCCAGAAAGGTCCAGAACTAATCTCTTCGTGTTGTATCATTTGGTAGCTACATCCAGTCAGCCACGTACTTACGAATTTATGGTAACTATTAGCATTGTTAGTTGATCACTTTATTCTTTTCTAGTCTTCCACTTGTACGAGTTCTGAACAACACTGATCTCTCTTCACGAACCTTAGCAATGGCACTTTTGCGCGTTTCATGTTCACCAACTCTGCGTTTACGATCTCCCCCTTCTTAGCTACCAACTGCGACCCTTTGATGGGTTTCGCACAAAGGCAGTAACTCGATTGTGCTTTCTCGCGCGGCATCGCGACGCCGTGATAAAAGCAAATACTTGACCACTCCCACAGATGCTGCTTAGCGTGCAATCTCTATGCTAATTACTGTGTTCAACCTATCCAAGCTAAATGACCACTCCCGATGAAACTCTCCCAGAGTCTCGTACATGAATCCGTCATAAGTACACGCGAAGTCGCGATCGCCGAGCGATCCATCGATATACCCTCTACATGGCCCATGTTTACTTAAGAAGACATGGATTAACTCGAACAGGCTTTGATAAGAAACATTTGGCAGAGAGGTGATTCGGTCGCCTGCTTTTAAGTGCCATTGATGGTGACCTACAACAGATCATCCTCCCACATTTCTATGTCTGCCCACCTAGCCGCAAGTCCCACCTGCAGATAAGTCTCCCTCGTCGCTATGTCTGTCCACCTAGCCGAAAGTCCCACCTACCGCAGATAAGCCTCCCTCATCTCGTTGCACCTGAGAGACGTCTAAACATGATGGTTGGCAGACTATTGGTAACATTTCCGGTTATACTGGGAAGGGTACTCTGTCTTGTCGCTTTATTTGAGTTTTCATTTTATGTGATGTGAGTGCAACTAACAAAACCTTTATCTGTTATAACATGTGACATCACGAACCAAAACAGCACAGTAGTATGGAAAATTCGGGTAATAGGGCGCTGTTGTTGCTGATGGAGAGACTGTAGTGGTTAGATGCAGGCGTTCACAATATCTGCTCGAAGGTGGATAAAGGTGCGCAAAAACCCCTCAATACTCCAAACAAAAATGGAATACACATGTCTCATTGACAAAAAATGCTATGATGGTTTGATCAAAGCGTGTAACAAGCTCAGTAATAGTTGGCCGTCTGCAGCTTTTGTAGTGTTGACAGGATGTCGTGAATGTGCTCTAGATGCCCGGATCTTCCAAATCGGACTATAATGGAAAATTGGCTTCCAGAGTTCATTTCAAGCAAAAAAATTTGCAATACCACAAATTGGTGTCAGATTGAAGCGTGATCACTGTCATCGCCATTCATGCTAAGGGTCGCGGAATGGTATACAATAACTATGCAACGTATATCCCACGGGCGTACAGAATGCATATAGTGCATATAAAACAAAAAATTAATACGACCCCCTTTTCCACAAGAAAAAATCAACTATCAAAATAAATTTGTCTTACAAATACACCCCCCGGTGCGGTGCATCAAAAAAAGAGCGGTCCTTCCGTGCCCATTGCAATGAAGAAAGGGGGGGGGACTAATGCTCTAAGATAACGACGAGATGAGATTAAATTTCCTACAATGCTGTGCACGTGCTCCGGGCCTTGGCATGTTGTTTTTTTTACAGTGTCATTTATCCATTGTTTCGAAAAAAAAACACAGTGAAGGGAATTACAGTCCTCATCATTGCGGACCGGTGGGGCGTGGCAGTGCGGCTGCATTTGGTGCGGTTTGGCAAAGTCGTTCTGCACCAGTTTGTTGAAGCGGGCAAGTGCATTACTGTATTATATCCTTCGTATTACTCGTTTTCTACCACTTTTTGTCGCATACGCGTTCAACAAAAAGGCTGAGAACGGCTTCAACAGTGTGCGCACTCCTTCTGGCTGACACGCCCCACCGGTCCGCAATGATGAGGACTGTACCTTGCTGGCGTGGTAAATCTCATTAGCATATTCCACCCGGGGATATCGAAGGCTTCTAAAACATCTTTTCTAGTAGGAGTGAATAGTATTGGAGCATTCACCTTTGTTCGAGGAGATCCTTTCACTGCAAATCCATTCAGAATCTTAGAAGGCGCTAAAAGGTTCCACTATCATTCGCAATGTCCTATGGAACAGCCCTTGCCCTTGGTCGTATAATTGCAGATTAAAGGATAAAAGGATAAAGTCTTCGCCGTTGATCAATCCCTTTGTGGGATGCGGCACGCATTCTACTTCCATTCAGAATCGTAGTGGCTTATTGAATGCGATGTGGCCTATACAATGACTTGGTGGCCAGCCGATGTACAAGTCAGTGTTTTATCCTCCCAGACGAATCTGGTACCAATTTACCGTCCCCGGAGGGTAGAAGGCTTGGTTGGCCTGGGCGGGAGTCGACCCGGGATTCGAACCCGGCGCCGCGCGAGTGGTAAGCGCGCCACTTGTCACTACACCACCTCCGCCCAATTGCAGATTACCAATCTGTAGTTACAGCAGACTAATATTTATTCCACATATGCCTCACTTCTTTACACCCCGCTGTTACAAGTGACGCGCTCCACCATACAGAACAAATACATTTTAATTATCACATTTTTTTACGGAATTAGGTTGCGTCACCTAAAGCGAGTGGGAGCAGATGAGCTCGGACGGTACCCGGCAAGATCCATTCGCGGGTGTCCACTTCGGGCGTCCACGTACGGCTGAACCGCTGGAGAACGGCAAGTAAGGGCTCATTCGCGTTGCCGCGTTTCCTCCTACTCCCCAGTGCTGGTTGAAATTCCACCGCGCTGCTATTTCTGTGGTGCACCAACAATCAGAGCTTTGTAGCCGCAGTCTCTTGCTGATTTCCTCTGTAGACTGGACTAAGGCCGTAAAAAAGAAGTAGAAGATGGAAGTGCGAAAAAACCCACCAAATGGTTGTGGCGCACCATTCCGTTTGTCTTGCGCTACCATGGCCGCATAGTCCTCATCAGCTGTCGAAGATCTCTTGCCAAATCTGGAAAGGTGGTCGAAAGGGCTTGAACATGGTGTGACGAACATAATCACTATTGGTCACTATTTCCTCACCTGACCAGTGCATTCCTCATGTTTCCTCCGGCACGTCCAAAGCGCACTAGAGCGTTGCGCATCGCTCGCTTCTCTAGACTGAATTAATGCCATACCTTGCAGTTTGTATATTAGGTTGTCCGGAAAGTTCTCAGCGTTTTGAGTGTTTCACTTTAAACGATCATAACTTTCTTAATACTCATCGGATTTAATCGAAATAAGCACCATTCGAATCAGCACACTTTTGCCAATGTGACACCAGTCGATAAATCCCATCAAAGAAAAAACTGGGTGGTCGAGAATCCACGAAAAGGCTTTTTTGCCTGGTCCTGATTGATGAAGTATTTTCCAGCAAGGAAGTTCTGAAAATGTTTGAAAAGGTGATAGTCGGTTGAAAGGTCTGGAGAATATGGCGGGTGAGGTAGAACTTCAACCCCCAATTCGTTCAATTTATGGATAGTGATTTGTGAAACGTGTGGGCGGGCGTTGTCATGCAAAAGAGACCCTTTCTGTTGACAAGTGCTGGCTGCAGCTGACGCAATTTTCGGTACATTTCGTCGATTTCTTCACAGTAGGACTCTGCTGTGATGGTTTGGCCTGGTGACAAAAAGTTATAGTGGATCACACCAGCCGATGACCACACTGTGACCATAATCTTTTTTTCGTGAGGATTCGGCTTTGGAAATTGCCTCGGTGGTTCGTCGGCATCCAACCACTGTCCGGAACGTCTCCTGTTATCATACATGATCCACTTTTCATCACAGGTGACAATTCGGTCCAAAAACGGGTCGTTTCTGTTGCGCAAAAGCAGTGAAGAAGAAACCTCGAGACGTGCCAATTTCTGCCGGTCACTCAAATTGTGGGGCACCCACTTGTCGAGTTTTTTCACCTTCCCAATGCGTTTCAGACCATCCGCAACAGTGGATTTGCCAACGCCTAGCTTTTCTGCAATCTCTCGAACTGTTTGGGATGGGTCAGCCTCCACAAACGCCTTCAAATCCTCGTCAGGTATTGCTTAGGTCGACCGCGTAATGAGAGTTCATACACCTTCAAGGCCGGAATCTCCAAAACCAAATTTGTCGAATCATTGTCGCACGGTGCTTTCTCCAACATTATTGGGCCCCCACACCTGGTTAATTTCGTCGAGCTGTCTCCGACTGCGGATTGACCTGATTTGTAGTTGGAATATCGTCCGAAGTTGCTCTTTTGACATGCTTCAAAAAGTCTTGGGAAAAGGGGGTTTATCAAGCAATGGTGAAACGGCAATTATACCATCAGATAGCGCAAAAATTCTCTTCAGGATGTACTACTGAGACGCAAGGGAGAATGAGTTTTTAATCAGCAATGAATGTACAAAAAATAGTAACACAAAACGCTGAGAACTTTCCGGACAACCTAATAATAAGGGAGCATGTAGAATGCAATGAAATCTGCACAGATTGAAGAGTCTTATATTATGGTTGGTAGCCCAGCTAGTCCAGTTGCCGTGTTCTAGTGGTAATTCAAGCTGAGTGAACACAGGCCTCATTTGAGTCACAGGTTCTTTGAGGGTGGTGTTAAGGCTTTGAAATGAGCACTCTGTGTCTCAAGAATGCCATTTTCCTGTCAAAAAATTGTTTGCTGTTATTACCACAGCCCGTCTTCGATTTTACAGAGGAACCTTCATCCGCACCATAGTGAGAGTTCAGAGTAAAGAAGTAAACAAATGAACATGAATGATGAGTACACACTTACATGGAATTGTCTTGCGCCCAAACTGAAGCTGTTAACATCACCACAAGGAAGAGTATCATCGGTGCAGACGATGGCATGAGGAAAGATGGGTGAAAATAAGCGAGTCCGGCCCTTAAATACTGGAGGAGTTGCCTGAGGGCCTGTACTGCTGCAATATCATATAACCAAACAGCCGCGAGCGCGGGTTTCTTCTGATATTGCCTGTGGTATTAAAATGACGCGATACCTTGTTCCAGATGGGCGCAACCGAGTTCTGGAGGAGGATTGTGAGCTCGATTAGCCAGGACGCAAAGGAAGCGCTTTGGTGGGAGCAGGAGTTCGGGCAGGAGCAGCAGTTCGAAGGTAAAAACAAAAGAAAAGATTTTTGGAAGGAGACTGATACGGCCACAAGAAGAGCCACGACTCTGACGCAAGCCTGCGGGCGCATAGGTCTGATTTCATGCTCTGTAAAACCGGTCATGTTTTAGTGGATTTGCCGGTTAGAGCGCGGATGTTACCTACAACGTCATCAACTGCTACGATGTTGCAGCAGCCTCCGACGAAGGATGGTAACTGGAAATACTCCTCATAGTCGTCCATCTGCTCCTCATATTTTCGGTTACCTCTTTATTCCTTCTCCTATTAAAATGTCTTTGTGAATAACTGTGAATAACCCAAAGTTCGTGGAGCTCAATACCGCCACACATCAGTAGCAGGCCTGCTCCTTTCATATTCCTTCTCTTTTGTTTTCCTCTCCATTTCTCTTTCTTCTTCTTTTTCTTTGTTGTTTCCTTGAAAGCTCTTATAACCCTCGCGCCCTTCTCACCAAGACACTTATAATCATTTTATATTGAACTTCAACCAGAAGAAATTTATTTAGGAGCAACGGCTTATAATGCAGGTAGTCAGTAAGCCTTTTGCTTAATCAAAAAGATGAGGAAGGCAAAAAAGATCTCGGGAGGACTTGAGGATTCAACGCACTTCTTCTGATTACAGATGGTTAATGCACATAAAAATGAATCTTTTCTGCAGTTCTCTGTGGGTGCCAGTACAGATGAATGGATCAGGAATATAAAGTTCAATGGTGGAGACGAACTTCCGCTTCACAGCTTACCCATCATCTAACCGATATACAGTGCGTAATAGAAGTATGTAGACACTCCGAAATTTGACTCTACAGGAATATCTTGGATTTTTGCAAAATTGGACCTACACTCGTTAGTTTCTCGGGCACAGAAACCTCAATACTTCACTTTGCAACATCTTGTAGGCCACTTTTTTTAGTATTGAAAAATTTTCCTCATACAAGTACGTGGATATTTAGAAAAAGAATTAAAATTTTTTTCTTGAGATTGCAGAGAGCTAGCCCCTACATGATTCATTCCAGTTGAGTCATTTTATCTGGCATCCTCCTGAACGCTGTTCCTTGCGGTTGTCTCGCGTATAGCATCTCAAGCAGCAAATATCGCCTCTTGAATTCATGAACCGCATTCCACTGGCGACTGTTATGGTAAATACGCTGAACTGTGAAGCTTTGGAGAAAGCGGGAAAATAGACTCGCATTCGAAACTTGCAGCATGGACAGCCAGGGGAATAAGTAAGTGGCTGATTCCAGCCTTCTGCTCTTTTTGAGAAATAGTCGATAGGAAACATGTCTTTCGGTAGGAGAACCTGGCCACAGATAAGCCGTTCCCAGCGAAGGAAGGGGTCCTGCGCAATGATATTCATATGGTGGATTGATCAAATAGTTCTTGAGTTACCATTACGAAAACATCAGCGGATCTCCTAGTGGCGGAAAAAAGTGATGCTTGAGACGCCATTATGTGAACGTGTGACAACAATGAGAAGCCTCATTCAGGAGCATGCCTGATAGAATGAAATAACTAGCAGGGAATCACTTAAAAGCTACCAGTCTCTCAACTCAAGAAAAAAATTTTAAATTTTCACAAGCGTCCACATAGCGTCTTTTGGTACAAAGCAAATTCATCTAACAATAAAGTAAAGTTGCCCACAACATGCTGTGAAGTGTTGGATATGAGTGCTCACCCACCAGAGGATTTGATTAGTAAAGGTCCCACTATGTACGCGTAAACTGAAAGTGTTCTTTTAGAGTCGGAATTTGGAGTGTCCACATACTTCATTACGCGCTTAGTTCACTATAACATGACTGTAGCCGAAGGTTATGGTGTTGATACATACGTCGGAATAGACACAATAGTTAGCTGCTATATTTTTCGCGTGGAAAGCCTCATTTCCCAGGTGCAGGGAGGCACATTTTTTGCTTCAGTTCAGTGGGGGCCCATATGATTGCTTCAGCCCGATAACATCGGCATGGTGTCTCAGTATTATTCTGCTGCTTTCACGGGCCATATCGCGATAATTGCCGTATGACCATTGTCATTGGGCACCTGTGCAAGCTCTATATAGCTATAGCACTTGTCCTTATTTAACCCATCAGTCAACAGGGTTGATAGAGTGAGATGAAAATCTTGATCTATCAACTGTTTTGCCTAATCCTTTGAAAAACTATGTTATAGGCATACAGAGGTATAGGGAAAGCATAATAATATAGGACCCATATATTGGGATTGACATAATGGGATCAAGGTTTATGATTGTAAAAGGGGAACATTATGTATGGTAACAATTATGCATACACTTGCATATTTTGCAATAGTCCCAGTAGTACATCATGATACAGGTTCAACTAATTCTCTTCCTCTATGTTTCATTCATCATGATACGCCTATCTTATATACACTTTTGTATATTCTTCTTCTTCTTCTTCAGCGTTTGTCCCGCTCGATGGCGGGGTCCGCTCTTTTGATATAACTACGCCACTTTTCCCGATTGAATGCCTGATCGGGGTGAATGCCGGCTATTTTCAAGTCGGTATGCAGCGTGTCGAGCCAGCGCTGTTTGGGACGCCCTTTGGCCGCTTTCCTGGTACCTCGAGTTCGAGAGCAGTTTTACGGACGGTGTCAGCCTTCGCGCGAAGTACGTGCCCGTACCATCGAAGGCGCGTTTCACGCAATTTCTCTGCTATGGGGGCTACACCATACTTCTTGCGCACGACATCGTTACAAATGCGGTCCGATCGCGTGACGCCCGCCGTCCAGCGCAACATCTTCATCTCCATCACACCAAGGCGAGCCTCAACTTCTTTGGTCGCAGCACTCGGCACCATATAACGCGACAGGTCGGACGACAGTACGATAGATCTTTGACTTGAACCGCTCTGGCATTTTCTTGTCGCAAAGGATCCCAGACATGGATCGCCACTTAGACCATGCCGCACTCACTCGTGCGCTCACTTCCGAGTTCAGACTGCCGTCGGACGCAAGTGCTGATCCGAGATACTTGAATGTTTCCGTGCGCTTGAGCACCGTGTCATCGATCTTAATGGAGCCCGGCTCAGCTCATTTGGGTCGGTTGTCAGGTACTCGGTTTTGTTGACGTTCAACCTGAGTCCAAACTTCGAAAGACTCTCGGCTTGCACCTACTGTTCCAGTGCGCTCTTATCCTTACATTTGACAAGCAAGCATCACGACATCAACATAAAGCAGGGTCCATGGCACTTCCTTCTGAAGATCTTGTGATATGGCATCCATGACGGCAACGAAAAGAAGTGGGGAGAGCGCAGAGCCTTGATGTACCCCGACGGTGATGGGGAACTCCAATGAACACCCGCTGATGAGCGAACTTGGCTCCCTGGGCATGAGTAGAGGATGCGCACCCACTCAATTAGCTCTTCGGGCACGCCGTGCCGTCTCAAAGCGTACCATATAACATCACGTGGCACACGATCGAATGCCTTCTCCAGGTCTAAGAAAGCTACATGCACGGGCTTTCGCTTCTCACGGTGTTTCTCCAGCAATAGGCGAGCGGCATGTATGGCGTCGACGGTGCTACAACCCGCCACGAAGCCACACTGGTTGGTGGAAAGCTGGACGATATCCCGAACACGGGCGTCAACAATTCGCTCGAAGATTTTCATAGTGTGCGAGAGAAGGCGAATTGGACGGTAGTTCGAGCACTCTGCCGGGTTGCCCTTCTTCTTCCAAATCGGGATCGTCACGCTCTGCTGTGCCAGTCCTTAGGCACCTTCTTTTCTTCGACGATCTGTTTGAAGAAGTTTCGTCACCAACCCGTAAAACCAGCGTTGTGACTTCCACAAATCGGCTGCGATGTCGTCGGGGCCTGTTGCTTTGCCGGCCTTCATCTTCCTCAGAGCAGCTTCGGTTTCCTGTACGGTGATCTTCTGAACGGGGCCATATGTTGGTGCGGTACAGGGTATAGCGGGATGGGCGAATTCTACCGTTGAGATGCCCTCGAAGTATTCACGCCATCGTGCAATACCCCTTTTTCGTCTATCAGAAAGGTGTCATGCTCTCATCACTTATGCCAAAAAACTTCTCATTGTCTTCGGTTTGGCGATGACGAGATTTGCAAGTCCGTACAGGTACCGCTCACCGTCGCGTGTCTCCAGCTCTTTCTGATATCATCGAAGTGAGCGGCCTTCACCGCAGCTACGGCCGTCTTTGCGCCTTCCTCGCTTCCGATACTGCGCTGTTGTTCAGCCGACTTCTGCTCGAGAACGCGTTGTAGAGTCTTTCTTTTCGCGAAGCACTTCGATTGATGTCGTCCGTCCAAGCATCCTCTTTGTCATTCTCTGCCGTCCAGGCTTCGTCGTGCCGAGTTCGGAGCGGGCGGCCTGGGTTATAGAATTAATAGCTTCGTCCCAGGTCTCCTGAACAGTTGTGACTTCAGGTAGTCGAATACGAGAAATCACAGCTGCCTCCCGCTCTTTTAGTCGCCACCATTTTATTCTCTCAGGACCGCATCGTTCTGCCTGCCTCGGTCTGGGAGCTACAAGTTTGAGCGTGCAGATCAGTGGGCGGTGCTGCGTGGCAACCGTTTCATACGGTACTACCTTGGCGTCCGTCACGGCGCATCCTTGGTCGCCATTGTCTGATTAGGCAATTCTATTTGTATCTTGGGTCTCCCCTGTAGACACGTGATGAGAATGGGAGTCACGCTTACGAAACTTCGTGTTCAGAATGACGAGATTATGCGACTCTGCATACTCAAGGACTCG